TAGTTTGTAGCAAAATTTGGTCTATAGTTGTTTTTGTTACAGTCTATGATAACCTTTTTGTTATTTAATAATATTAGTCTAGAACAACATTTTAATTATTTAGATTTGGCTTTTTTTTCCCTTAACTTTATAAGGTTTTTCAGGAGAAAGAGGCAAATCAAAGAAAACAAGCTGAAATAAATAATTAAAATTGATTAAATACACACAAATTCCAAGGTTTATACTGGTGTCAGTTCAAATTCACTCCTATTTCCATATCTCATATACTACATATTTACTTCTATAGTTGCACACGAGAGTCGGTAATTGCACAGCTTTAATTCATACTATACAAGGTACTCAATCATCATAGATCGTGATATTTACTAAGGAAAAAACTACAAGAAGAGATTTTAGAGAGCTTTTTTTAAAAACAATATCATTTGGGAAATAATTTATTTGGTTTAATTGACCTGTTTAATTTCAGCTTGGCAGAATTAGTCATTTCTGGAATATTATAGTTAATTGGAGTTGTGCTTTCTTTGAATTCAGTTTGACTTTTTAAAAAATATCTGTTCTTTAAAATGGATCCTTCACTGTGAGAAGGGATGAGTAGAGCCACGACAGTTTACTTCTAGTGAAAATGTTTTTTTTTTTTTTTTTTTTTGAGACGGAGTTTTGCTCTTATTGCCTAGGCTGGAGTGCAATGGTAGGATCCCAGCTCACTGCAACCACTGCCTCCCAGGTCCAAGTGATTCTCCTGCCTCAGCCTCCCCAGTAGCTGGGACAACAGGTGCCCACCACCACAGCTGGCTGACTTTGTATGTTTAGTACAGACAGGGTTTTACCATGTTGGTCAGGCTGGTCTCGAACTCCTGACCTCAAATGATCTGCCTGCCTCAGCCTCCCAAAGTGCTGGGATTACAGGTGTGAGCCACCATGTCCAGCAAAAAGTTCTTATTTCTCTTAATAGCAGTGTGTTTCCCCTCCTTGTAATAATTTAGATATTCAAGAAAAAAATAGTTCAATTTGTTTAAAGTTTTTTTTTTTTTTTTGTCAATTAGGAGTATATACTAAACTACAAAAAATGATGATTTTAAACATTTATTTTAATTTTGCAATTATGGTTTATTGAATGTAACCTGTTTTTATTCTTGCCAGATCAAGGAGAAATTAAAGAGATTTTAATGTAATTTAAGTCAGTGAAAACATGGGCAGGACTATGTCAATATTGTTTTCCACTGTAAAAGTGGCTCCTAGCACAGTGCCTAGCATGTGATATCTGTGGAATAAATTAGTGAAAAATGAATATGAAACATTTTTAAACAAATATTTAAACAATTGCTTTCACTGTAGTGGCTGATGGTGGTAAGGCAATTAGATGAAGGAGTCTTGATTTCAGCAACTTATCCGAAATTTGATTCATGCCTCTACATCATACTCTTAACTATAGAAAAAGTGTGTTCGTTAGTTTCAGTTTTTTTTCTAGAAAAATAATGGAGTTCTATTATTTTAAAAGTGTATATTTTATTAGAGGACTTCTTATAATTTTAAAAAAAGATTTAAAAAATAAAAATCAGCCTGGAAAATTTATTGTCCAAAATTTTCTAATGGCCAATGTATGTATTTTAGTACCTCTAGCTAAGATCTATGACTCTTTGCTATAAAGATGGTCTATGCACAACACTATATACAGAGATGTACTGCTTAGGGTCACCATCTTATCTGAGCCAGATTGGGAAGACTAATAGGAAGAGTCGATCCTTCAAGATGAATAAATTCACTGAAATGTTTGCTTCAAATGATTCTGTGTTCCATCACAGCTGGAATAATTTTGCAGACAAAACATTAAATTAAAAGTCAATTAAGAAAGTCAAAACAGTCTAACTGCGTTTACTCCTGTATTAATGTAGAATGTAGGATTTGGACAGCTGAGGGGCTGTGTGTAGTGTGTGGGTCCTTAGGACTCTGCAAGGACTCTGCACATTTCTACCCTGGGTAACAGTTAGGTGACCTCTGAAAAATCTGAATTCCGAATAGCCATTTCCTTAAAGGGGCTCCTCTTAAGAAAGAACTTTAGAATATGAATCTGGAGGAAAAGAGGAGGAAAAGAGAAAGATTTTAGATGAAACAATTGTAGCGGGTGGGGCAGGTGGGTTTCACTCATATGAAAGACCCTAAAATGGAAATGATATAGATTTCTGTTTTTTTAAAAAAAGAAATGCTGTGGTGTGTGTCTGCACACGCACCTGTGCATGCGTATGTGTGCCTGTCATCTACATCAATTAAAAATGGACATGCTCGTTCTTTATTTTCTTGGGCACTGTTGGGGGAAAATATTAAAAAATGAGGTACATTTTAACAACCTAACTCTGTCAAAATTGAGTAAAGCAATCACTGCTATTTTTGTGAAACAGAGGTAGAAGTCAGGTGAAGGCATAATATATTACACATTTTCAAAAATGTCATTCGACTGCATTGTAAGAAAAAAAAACCTGAGACAAGGTAAATATACTAGATACTCTTTTTAATGAAATGTTTCACACCTTTCTAAACTTCTTATTATCCGTTTATAGAGCCAGAAACATTCTAGATGTCTATAGCTTTTATTTTGAAATAAAATATTGGGATTATCTAATTAAATGGGAAAGCCACTGTAAGAGCTAAGCAGCTGTAGACAAATCTACAATGAATTTGTAAGCAAGTCTTTCTAATAAAAAATAGGAATAGTCAATGTGTGATCTTTGAAAGTGGTGTCAGCATAGCAGTCCTGGCCTAAATGTAGGCTGGCAAGGTGTATCGTAAGACAGGGTGAGAGGGATGCCATACATAGGTGGTGATTCTTTAAAATACCTGCCTTCGGCTGGGTGCGGTGGCTCACACCTGTAATCCCAGCACTTTGGGAGGCTGAGGTGGGCAGATTACCTGGGGTCAGGAATTCGAGACCAGTCTGGCCAATATGGTGAAACCCCCACCTCTACTAAAAATACAAAAATTAGCTGGGCGTGGTGGCACACACCAGTAATCCCAGCTACTCGGGAGGCTGAGGCAGGAGAATTGCATGAGCCCGGGAGATGAAGGTTGCAGTGAGCCGAGATCATGCCACTGCACTCCTGCCTGACCAATAGAGCAAGAACCTGTCTCAAACAACAACGACAACAACAAAAAACAAAACAAAACAAAACAAAAAACACCTGCCTTCAGTCTGCTTGAGATCATATCCAAAGATTCGCCAGTAAACTTGTGAAAGATCTATATATATGGCTTTATAACCCCCAAATAGAACTTTGTTGATTGAACTACACTTAAATATAAGTAACTCCAGTAAACTATCGTACATAAAGTTAATGTGCTCTTGTAAATGCTCTGATATCGGTTGGCTTCTAACACTGTCAGTATCTTGCACTACTCACAAATTCCATGTGGATTTCAACAGTGGATCTATGTAGATTGCCTTGCAATATTCAGATTTTTAGATTTCAGTGTTATGATCAGTATTCCACAGAAAAGTTTGGCATTATTAGAAAAAGCAAGGAAAAAAGGCCATTTTATTCTCATATAAAACTTCTTGATTTGATATAGAAGTATGTAGCTTTTAGTGTTTTTATACATAGTGGACAAAATATTTGGTATTCTCAAGCACAGGAATTCTGTGTAAATAGTACTCCTTGAAATTATGAAACGTGGTAGTCTGACCTAGTACAGGAATTCTTAATTCTTTGGGCGTTATGGACTCTTTCAAGTTTGATGAAAGTTACAGAATCCTCCTTTGGATTCTCATAAAAGCCCTGTTGTTGTAAGTGTTATGGATAAGGAGGCTAAGGCTAAGAGCTTAATTGGCATCACTGGTTTTTGATTGTATGTCTGATTCCAAGTTCACACTCTTCCCCCATTCTCCCGCATATTCCTTCAAATTTCACAACATGGCAAAGTAAGTCCTTTCAGAGCTGGTGCTGACCTACATTGTCAGGCTCATCTCCTTATTTCCCAGGTGCATCCTAGGTAGAGGTCACGCTGAACTACTTACAGGTATTTGGAAGTGTCATGTTGACCTTTCAGCACCCTGTTCCCTCTCCCTGAAAATCCTTTCTTATTTTGTCTGCCTCTCTAATGTTAGTTAGAGTACATTCCTAGTTGTACTTGAAGACTCAGCTCAAATGTCACCTTTTATAGGAAGACTTTTCTGCCCTCTTCTTGGCCACTTCCACCCTCTTAGATGCCCTTCCTCTATGCTGTCATTGTACCCTCTGCATACCACTGTCATAATTTCATTTATCAAGCTGCACCATGACGGATGTCTACTTGTCTGTTTTTCCACTATTCTGTAAGTATTTCAAGGACAGACATTCTGTGTGTGTGTAAGATCTGGCCAAAGCATAGTAATTCCAGTGACTTTTTTCTTCTTGGAGTCAAATATACTTTCCTGTAATGCCTGAGTAAAGATACATTTTTTTTTTTCTAAAGAACTCTAACACCTGCAATATTAATGGGGACCATATGCTATTTCTCTCTCAGCAGCCTCAATCACACTGATAACATTGAAAAAATGCATGCTTGTTTCAAAGGAATAATTTTGACCCCATTTCTATGAACAGGAATTTATATTTTACCAGGCAATTGTTTCTTAGTAATATAGTTCTATTTATTTTCTTGGTGAGTTAGGAGGAAAAATAGTATGTTAAAATATTTGTAACTATACATTTCAAAGTATTTAAACAATAGTAACAAGGTTTAAATGTATCAAGAGTTCTGGTTACTTTTATATTCATCGATACTATGTCACCAAATAGGTAGTGAACAGAAATGTGTTACAAAGATAAATGAAGTAGAAACATAAAAAGAAAAATAGTAATTTTAAAGCAACTTTAAAATAAGCAAACATGTCTTTATAAAAAGGAATGGAGTAGGAGGAACAGAGATCGACAAAATTATTATTATTTTTTTCCTACAAGAACTTATATTTTATCACATACTGAAAAGATTGTCACAACTTACATTTCCTCTTTTTTTCTCCTCCCTAGGCCAAGTTCACAGATGACTGCAAGTTCAGGGAGCGTTTTCAAGAAAACAGCTATAATACCTATGCCTCAGCAATACATAGAACTGAAAAAACAGGGCGGGAGTGGTATGTGGCCCTGAATAAAAGAGGAAAAGCCAAACGAGGGTGCAGCCCCCGGGTTAAACCCCAGCACATCTCTACACATTTTCTCCCAAGATTCAAGCAGTCGGAGCAGCCAGAACTTTCTTTCACGGTTACTGTTCCTGAAAAGAAAAAGCCACCTAGCCCTATCAAGCCAAAGGTTCCCCTTTCTGCACCTCGGAAAAATACCAACACAGTGAAATACAGACTCAAGTTTCGCTTTGGATAATATTCCTCTTGGCCTTGTGAGAACGATTCTTTCCCCTCAGGAGTTTCTATAGGTGTCTTCAGAGTTCTGAAGGAAAATTTTTGGACACAGCTTCAGCTATACTTACCCTGTATTGAAGTCACGTCATTTGTTTCAGTGTGACTGAAACAAAATGTTTTTTGATAGGAAGGAAACTGGAATTCTTTGTACTAATACAGGGAGCACACTGCTTCAGGTCAGCAAGACATAAAGCCTTTTGCTTTATGCTTGAGGGATACTTAGAACTTTGTATTTTCGGAAAGTTAAATAACATGGACTATGTATTTTTCTGACTTTTACAGATCAACCTGAAAGAACATACATGGTACATTTTTATTTTTGGTTTCCAAAGAATATTTTGATGCAGATAAAATATTTTGTTAACTTTTGTTTTTTTGTTTGTTTTCTTAAAAGTACCTCTGCATTGAGCATATTTTCTTACTTTTATTATTTTAATTAATATGACATAAGCAATCATTTTATGCTGTTTATGAATTATAAATGTGTTTATATCTCATTTGTAATGTGGAAATCTTTTAAATTTTTTCTATTCACTGCACTTTTTTATTGTTTTTTATTTCTAGCCATACCTCAGAAAATATGTTTAGTTTTACATTTTAAAATGTTTAAATTCTCTTTCACAGCACCAAAGGCTCAGCTTGGATTTGTGTGTATGTGTATGTAAATTCATGACTTTATGTGGAATCCTACACCTTTGGTGGCTGGGATATGATGGGTTATAAGCAAGGAAAAAATATAAGGACTTTTTAATAGAATTAAATGTGGGAGGTAAGGAAAAGGATTTAGAGGTAAACGTACACTAAGTTTACAACATTGATTGAGATCTAAGTCTGTCTTGCCTTCATTTCTCTTTTTATCCCCCCCTTGCCCTCATTCTTGAACAGCTGGAGGAATACATTTTATTCTGTCCGTGAAGCATACACCATGAGATTGGAGTGCTTAAAAATACTTCTATGATTCTCTGCTGTCCCACTGTGTAGATCCACAGGGAGCAAACACTTAGAAACGATAGAGAACTGAAGGAGATGAATGGTTTAACAGTTATCCATGCCAAGTCCCGTTGTCAGAAATATTCTTATTACTCAGGCAAACACTCTTTGAGCTTCCCTTCCTAAAGGTAACCATTTCAGTGAATAGATGTGCACTTTTATAAGGAAACTTCTGATGTTTATTTAAAAAACTGGCCTTTTGATAGAGGTAAATTAATCTGGGAGTTCAATGTGTTGAAAGTGGCATTTAATTTCACCTTAAATACTGACTGCTGGACATAAATCACAGAAAATTTAACTTAAGAAAATTTACAAAATTTATTATCAGGTAATCATTTTAATAAAGTTCTGCAAAATACAAGTGTTTACATTACATTCCGAAATGTGGCAAAAAAGATATAGCTAATGGTTAAAAGTATGACTTTTGTAGTAACAGAAGAGTTCATAGAAATTTCATGGTTTGCATTTAAACATGTTTAAAGTATACTTATAAACTATTTTTTCCTTAAAGCAAACTATGATTTATTTTGGTGCAAGTACAAAATGGAAACTTGTCAAAATTGAGCTAGCTACCGTAATATAAGCAGATTGCTTTAATTTGATGGGAAAACAGTATACACATATATATAACAAATAATATATCTAAAAACCCATCCATCAACTAAAACATTATACGTATACATTAGTATAGTGTTTTATTATAAAGCCAATTATCTGATTAAACATTCTTTCCGCTTAATGCATAATTTTTAAATAGCATAAAATGAAATGCTACAAAAAATTGAACTAATTTATACTTTAAAGTATTTCGGGTTAAATGGAACAATGAAATTTTTTAAACAAAGATATGCCCAACTCTTATTCAAATGGCATATCACCGTGTTTACACAGTATAAAGCTAAAAATATTACTCTAGTTTATTCTAATCTATTGTTAAGTATTGTGTGCCGTATACCAAGTTCTTAGGGCACATGAAAAATTTCAGTTGCCAAACAGAAACTAGTAAACATATGTTCCTAATTAGTGAACAGAAAGATAATAATGATGGTCAACAACAGGCCACGTTAATGAATAAGTTGTATAGGCTAAATGTTGCTTGTAGGCTACATTAAACTCAAATGTAATAGTTTATCTTATACTCCTGGTTTGATTTGATTAGCATATGAACATGAAAGTAGGATAACTACCAAATATATATTATGCAAGTCAGGAATCATTAATTTCAAAATTTAAAGCCATTCTAAAATTAAAAAGAAAATATTAAATTACACAATTACACTTCTCTTCACTGGCCATACACAATGATTTTTTTTTTTTTTTGAGACAGTCTTGCTCTGTCACCAGGCTGGAGTGCAGTGGCATGATCTCAGCTCACTGCAACCTCCGACTCCCTGGTTCAAGCGATTCTCCTGCCTCACCCTCCCAAGTAGCTAGGATTACAGGTGCGTGCCACCACGCCAGTTCATTTTGTATTTTTAATAGAGACGAGGTTTCACCATGTTGACCAGGATGGTCTCAATCCTGGCCTCTTGATAGTCCTGACCTCATAATCCACCTGCCTCAGCCTCCCCAAATTGCTGGGATTACAGGTACAACGATGCTTAATGAATGCTTAGTGAAGCATAAAGTTACCTACATCAATTAATTAAATGAACCTATGTACAGAAAACGTGTATAAATATAAGTCCATACTAATGCTTACAACTTTCTAAGAGGGTTCTTGCTTACATAGCTTTTTATTATTTTAAGTAACCAGAACTACCAAATACCAAAATTATTTGATTATGGTTATGTTCATCTAAACACAACAATAAATTTTGTATTATTATTTAGGAGTCTATTTTGCCTATAGGTAACAAACATCTCCAGACTAACATGTCAGTTTTATCAATTATATTATGTTTAAATATTTAAGATTTCTTTATATGGAACATCTATAGAGATAAATAGAGGTTTTCAATAAGACGTAGTAACACTGTGATTTTTCTGTCACAGAGTCTCTCTTCACTTCCTTCTAAAGAGACTAATTTGAGAGTATAGGTGTATATTAATTTTCTTGATTCTTTCAGCTGAATTACACTGGTCCAGAAGTTCAAAATCATGTGACAACAATAAGAGATACTGACAGAAGTCATTTCCAAGTTTGTACATATATTTAAAAAATTACATATATAAAACTGAGACTTTTATTTCTGTTATTTTAAAGCTTTTATTTCTTGTAGCTAAAAATAAAACATAAATCTGGTAGGTAAATTTCTTATGAAATCGATCTTGAAATAGAAAATGTACTGATTTTCTTACCATTAACATTTTTTATCCTTCCAAAGAAGGGAGGGAATAAATCATGACTTATTCCATTTTCAATAACAAAATGAAACTATGGCACTAACCAAAAACTTGCATTCTGGCATCATTTTTACAGTTGCAGAGAATTGTTTCTGGGCTCATTAAAAATATATGATTCCATTGCCGCAATGGAAAGCAAACAATAACTTCTTAAAGGAGTTCTACACCTCCTTTAAGATTTATTTCATTGCTACCTCTAAATTCTGATAATTTAAAATCCATTTTAAGGTGACAAAATTTTTAAAAATTTTGGAGGAAACCTCTGGATAAATGGACAAGGCCTTTTTTTTTTTTTTTTTTTTTTTTTTTTTTTTTTTTTGGTATGGAGTTTAATTGTTCTTGCCAAGCCAACTTTTGAAATAAGATTATATGATTAGGTATTAGCAGAGACAAAGAGTTACTGCCTCCATCTTACTCTGCCCTATTTGAAAGTCTC